GCTACTGGAGCAACCCAGCAGCACCCCAGCTGCTCTGCCCCAGGCGTCCCCAAGTCAGCTTCTGCTGAAACTGACCAGCGCTGACTAAGGAAGCCCCAGGCAGAGTTGCTCTGCCCCGGGCTTCCTGGAATCAGCTGCTGATCAGTTTCAGCAGCAGCTGACTTGGGGACGCCTGGGGTTCTTAAGTTGATTCTGTATGTAAGTCAGAACTGGCGGTCAGTTTCAGCAGTGTCTGAATCTGGACGCCAGTTCCGACTTACATACAGATTCAACTTAAGAACAAACCTACAGTCCCTATCTTGTACGTAACCCGGGGACTGCCTGTATGCATGTATTTCAGAGTCTGGTGGAGAAAAACACACAATTGCCTTTAATTATTCAGAATATACCTGCAATGAACTAATTAAATTGAGTTGTATAAGAAATTATAAGTGATTAGTATTCCTACAGATCCCGATTGCCCAAATAGATGGAGGCCCCATCATACTAGATGCTGAACAAACATGTAGAAGAGACAGTCTGTGCCCCAGTGAGTTTATAGTTTAAATCTAAGACTGACAAGTAAACAGATGAGCTGAGGAGGGGGGATGGGATGACAGTAATACTAGTCTATTTTTGCATAGACAAGCTGTGTCCACAATTTGTAGGAACTAAGGGATTGTCTCTTTCTTTTGTACTATATGGAGTAAGTAAAATATTAATAGTCCTGGCTGGGTGTAGACTTACATAGTCAGCAAAACAGAGTGTGGACTTTCAGCGTTAGTTAATTTAATAGCTGGGCTTGGTAACTTCATACTGTGATACTATGATACAATACCATACTGTGATACCATTTAGTCATATTACTTTTGAAGTGGCAGATTATTTTTCAGGCAGAAAAATAATTCTGCTCTATGCTAAAGTGAAAGGCTTTCTGTTAAAATTAAAATTGCCTTTTCAAAAGTAAAAACAGATTGCTTCTCTCATATACATGACAAGATTGTTAAGTCACAGAGCACAGCATTGCTACAGCCTAATTTTGCAATCCCTGCACTCATGACAAAGGTAATCGTTTATTATAAGTCAGAGTACTTTCTGAAAAGAAACAGTCCTACCAACATATGGTCTTATTTTCCTTGTACCTGATGGCCAGAGCCCTTTATAAACCTGTCTAACCCTTCATTCATCTTGTTTTATATCTTCTTTATTTATGGCTGCAGAGTTTCCCCTTCGGATGCTGATTCCACAGCGAGTGAACAGTCCAGTGAGAAAGAGACAGGAGAAGAAACTGCAAGACCACCAACCACAGCCAATGAGGGCAAACCACGCAGAGGTCCAAAGAGTGGTTTGTTGTTTTTTTTTATTTCAGTCTCTTGCTGCAGTGTTTTAGTAGGGCAAACCTGAGATACATTTCAGTGCTGCCACTTTCTAAAAAAGTAATTTTTGTCTATTGGAGCTTCTTATTTTGGTTATCCATCATTTTTTCCCTCTGATTATTTTCTCTTTTCCTATGTTGCAGCTGGAGGTCTGCAGGTTTATTTCATTCAGGCATGAATCTCATCCAAGTGATGTAACACCACTCACCCTTTCCTTCTCTCATCCGCACACACTTTCTAATCATGTGTCATTATGACTCTGTTGGTAGCAGTCTTGTAGGAAATTACAGGTGCAAAGAGGTCACAACAGGACTTGATACAATGGGAGAGTACGCCTTTAACTGTGTAATTTTGAAAAAGTGAGATTTAAAAATATGGTGGATAGCTAAGAATTTAAAAATCAATGTGGTGCTTGTTTAAGATATAATTTAGGAGCTAAGGTGTTTTGTTGTTAGCACTAGTTTTGCTAAAGACTTGCTAGCATCTCATGGAAAATACTGCAACTTATTCTGCTCACTCCTGTCATTTTTATTCCTTTTTACCCCATTTCAGAATATTTAAAATATTTTCATGAACACAGGATTTTAAGAGTGCATGTATCTGTTATCATTGCTTATTTCTCACTGGAGGTTTTAAGGCCAGATCCTCAGCTCATCAGAGTAGTTCCATCATGGAGCTCAGATATATTATAATCCTGGTTTTGAGCAAAAGTCTTAGTAGTAGTAAAACAGGAGAGAAGGGAATACTGGAAATACCAAAGGCAGGTCTGTCTATAAAGTTGAACATTGTTCAGTGTTTTTCAGGAGCTGGCTATTGAGGAATACCTGTATACTCGAGCATTTCCCAGTTTACCATTGTGTCAGAGAAGAGATAAGAAGATGCAAGCAGTATTTATTATAATATTGATCATTAGTTCCTTTCCAGAGTTAGTTTCCTTTCCTTTCTCAGCGTATGTTTCTACTCATGCAATGTTCAGAACACTGAATGATCCTGAAGGATCTGGTTTGGTGAGGCTAGTTTTCTTCCTGGATGGATGTTCTGTTGTAGCATGTAAGCAAACAGAACACAAGGTAGGCAAACACTGCCAGAACACATGAAAGTATGCATCCTAATAAACTGGCATGAAGTATGGGTCACTTGCATATCTCTTTCACAAGGTTAGTTTTTGGTTTTGTTTTTGTTTTTTGTTTTTTGGTAAGGTGAAATCCTAGTGGCCTAGGGTGTATGTTTTAATGTAGTGTGTTGGTTGTAAGGACCAAAATGAATGCCTGATGTTTTATGAGGAGCTAATGTTATAAAAGACTGTTGGGCTGTTCCTTGTTCCAATCTATGTGAATCCAGCCGTATCGTGTCTCATACAGTCCTATCCCATTGCCTCCTGTTGGGAAATTCCTTATTTGTCCCCTCATTTTGCATCTTCCTTAAAGGTTTCAGTTTCGGCTTGACCTGTCTTTTGCTTTAGAGCATTAGAAGTGGTTACATCCAGAGCTAATCCTAACTGTGTCTTAAATATCTGGAAAGGACTGTTGGAGAACTGTGTAAAATGTGTCTTTTTCCTTTCTGCTGTTCTGGGAAAGAAGAAGCTGTTTCTCCATAGCTGGTCCTGGTGGTCAAGGGGATTGTTTTTAATGCTCAACCCCAACCCCTCTGTAGTAGAATATTCAACTGCTGATAAATTCCAGTATCTGCCTCCTCTTCCTACCTCTCAGGCTTCGCAATCTCACTCAGCACTGCAGCACCCTTTTTATCATATGTGTTTCTAAATGCCACTTCTGCTGAATTATTCATAACTGCAGTGTCGTATTTCTGTGCTTTTCTCCCTTATGCTGGCAGGAGCAAATAGAGTGGGTAAGTATCCATCTTATTGTGTGACGGCCTTTCTTTAACTGGCAGTTTTGTGGAACAAATGTGAACGAGGGTCTTGGGAAAGTTTAATTCAATGTATCTGATATTTGAGTGGATTTGTCCTCTGGGTCTAAAAGCCAAAATTTGTTTTGAGCCATTTATTTACAGAAAGAGTTCTCAACAACTCAGATTATGTGAAAGGGTAATCATTTGTTTCTCCAATAGCTAGGCTGGGTTTTTTTTATTATGATATTTGTCATGTTTTAGTTCAAGCAGTGGTCCCCAACCTTTTGGGGCTGCTGGGCACTCGGGGGTGGGGCCACTCACGGGCCACACCCCCGTGGGGGGTGGGGCTGGCACATGCACCGCGCGCCCGGGACCGGCACCGGCATGTGCGACCCTGGGGCAGAGGCTCTGGCAGAGCCTCAGAAGCGCGGGAACCCGCCCGGTGCCCCTGGTCTGCTGGAGATGGTCTCCAGCAGACCAGGGGCACCGGAGCACCCTAGCCACGG